TGGAAAATACTTTGTGGTCGCCACTTTCTTTCGAGAGATTCCGAAACCACTAGCAGTGTCCGTGGAAATAAACTCGGATCTTTTTGTTCATTTGTTTAGTAAGCACCACATTTTTCTCTGCGCCGCACTCGCCACCTTTTTGTTATTGTATTCCTATATTATATATCCTACTTTTGTAGTATTGTTTTTATTAGCATTAAAATTATATCAACTCCGATGTGCAATAATTCGGACAGGAAACATCGTTTTCGGACATGCAGAAACGGGAATTGAAGGGAAAAACTTGTACAATAAGATACCACGGTAATAAGCAAAAAACATTTTTTCTATTTGAGACATAAACTCAAATATGTCTCAAAATGGACTTTTTTGCACATTTGAGGTAAAATGTCTCAGAATCCTGACGTGCTTGGGAAAAACGGACAAAGGAGTCGTGTTCAGCCCACGAAAAACCTTTGAGGTCAAATAGTCTCATCTTTGGGTATGAAAGAGCTCTTTTGTCGGCCTTTGTAATTATATTTAGACTTTCTCCCAGAAAGTTCGCTATAGAGTACATGTTTTTATTAACATTAAATCTATTTTTCCATTTTTATAATAATATATTGTAGTTTCAAATACATCTACGATGTATTACTTTTTAAATATAACAATGAGATAAAAATTGCAAATTTGTAATAAGGAATGAAAGTAGAGGAGTATGCTTAAAGTCATCAGCGATGAACGAAAATTGTAACAAAGTTTATTGTTGATCCGACTAGCAATATAATAGATTAAATGTTACATTCGTACGACGTTTCGACCTAAGTATCAGGTCCTTATCAAGTAATAGAACTCTGCATAGATGTTCGCGGAGCATAAATTATAGCAGACTCACGAGACATTGTCAACGAAGAAAATCTTCAGGAAAATAACTTAGTTCCAAACGTCGTACGATTGTAACATTTAATCTATTATATTGCCAGCTGGATCAACCAGAAACTTTGTTTTAATTTTTGTAATACTGATTGATACCTTTCTTAACACACATGAATAAGTTTGTATAACAGCATGCCGACAAACTTACTTGGAAAGCACAGGTCTGTAGAATCATAAGAATAACTCTCATCGGCCATTTCGCTTTATAAGCTCGATGACACCACAATCTGTGGGCACCTGCTGTAACACCTATAGATGTAAGAATACCCAATGCATAACCTGAAAGAATAAATAAAACATGTGAGCATAACATCATGAGAACGTTCACAAATAAGATTTGTAGTTATTATTTGATATTTTTTAAAAATCAATTGGTTCAAGCTATTGACATCTACGCTTATTTCGTCCTGCAAATTAATGATTGTAATTAATAAAATTACATGTAAACTTCAAGTTTTAAGTCTTAAGAGATATGCAAATGTAACGTACACTAAAGAGCCGTGTATTTGACATCTGCTATTGTTATTTCTTCTTGCAAATCTATGGTTGCAATTAGTGAAACAACACTTAAATTTTAAGTTTTAAATCTTAAAATATATATAAATGTAACGTACACCAAATGACCGTGAGAGGTTTGATCTCCATTGTTATTATAAGATACAGTGCATAAAGTGCAACGATATGAAGGTAAGCAAGAGATATCACGTTTCTCCAGACGATCTTCCACTCGTACTTAGGCTGCGAGTTTTGTATCGTTTGAGTTAACAGTTTTTGCTTCAAGGTCTTTTCTCCCACTGATTTCTTATGCGACACATCCTGCTGAGAAGCTTCAAGCAATAACGTTGTCGAACTACCAGACAAATTTGGTATCATAATGCTGGAATATCTATAATAAGTAATTACAGTTCTAAAATTAAAGAAAGCTATGATTATATTTCATAATATTTTTAAATATTTACAACATATATTGAAAGTGAGAGAAAGAGAAAAGATACCACGTGAAAGAGATAAGAGAAAAAAAATCGTTAGAATACTCTAACAAGCTGATTTGGATTTCTTCGGTGGCACAAGTATAAATTCAGCAAAAGAAACATTAATAAGATATATATTTTTCAAGGACTGATTAAAATTCTTAAAAATTAAAATGTATCCTTTAATCAAAAAATAGCAAATTCAAGTTTAAGAAACGTATATAGGTAAATTAGAAATGTGTAGCACATTTGTAAAATTATTAAATTTAAATTTTACTATAAAATATAATTAGACATAATAAAGAATGTATGTATATTCAATTTTGAGAAACTATCATTTCGATTATTTCCTAAGTCGTTGATAACATCCATCTAGAAAGAATGAGTCAAATTGATTAATTTATTAAGAAAATTTATTTGATCAGGCATATTGATTTTATTCGTTTGTACTTCTCTTCGTTTCATACCTTTAGGAGGATAGAAATACAAAATGTTAAAAATTTGGGTTGTAAGTAATTTTGACATTATTGAAGCTATTTCAAATCCGACAGCGAGTACTATTTCGTTTGTATTCGTCTGTACCGCTTTTTATTTCATTAGTACCCGTCAAGAGATAAACATACGGAATACGGAAAATAACGTAATAAATGTACAATAATTTTGTACGCGTTCGTAATTTTTCACCTCTTTCTCAAATTAACATAAGTATGTATAGCACATATAAGTGTTATACTAGAAAAAAATGTCATGTTAGAGTTAGGTAATAGAATGATTCGACAATTCAAATTTATATTTCGCTTTGCAGAGATGTAAAAGGAAACGATCTTAAGATAAAATCTTTGTTAGTAGCAATTAATTTGCCTATACATATCCAGAATTAGCTTATCTGCTAATACCTTTTCTTCAATTTCTTATTGGTAGTTCGGTTTTATTGTGTTATGTATATAATGGTCAAGTGACAACTGATGAAATCAAAAGACAAGACGAATCTTGGTGGCTTACAATTTGAGCGACAAGTGTAAGTAGGTGGTATCGTGGCTATATGAAAGAAGAAGATAGTTAATAACGGTGGCTCTCCCAAACGGACAGTCCGACCTGGTAGGAAGTTACTATGAACTATTAAGGGGGGACCCCACCCCTGACACAACGAAATCAGTCTTAACTTTGTGAATTTTTTGTGGGAAAATTAATAACTTTATTGAAAAACTAATTTATAGGTATTATTGTACGTCTTTTATAGTATATAAAAATTATTTTTTCATCCCGTTTGAGTAATAAAATGTCGACTTCTTGGTCCATTACGGAAGCGCCTTTCGTGAAACGGACTCAAGCGGTGTACACGATTCCGGCAAAACGGTCCGACCTATTCAAACAAACAAAAAATTGCCGTCATCTACACTGTCATGGTTATCGTGTGACGTAGGGATTTTTTTAAATATCGATTTCTCTTGAAATGGCGATGATCTGAAAAAAAAATTGCTATTTCTTAAAAAAAATATAGTTTTTAATTGTCGATTAAAAAAAACTATAAAATATTTTGCAAAAATCCTACGTCACACGATAGAGAATGTTATTAAGAATATTCAGTTAAAATTTTAAGTCAATTGGATGAAAACTTTTTGAGTTATCATGTACACCGTCTCGGAAAATGCAGTTTTGAGAAAAACGCGTTTAAAGTTTATGAAGCATTTCACAGCAAGAATTTCCATCTTACCATTAATCTGCGATGCCTGCTCCATAAAGTTGACCTTCAGCTAACTCATTTGCCTCATCAGCTTCCTTTCTGACCGCTTCGAGCCTCTTTTGCTTCTTCAGTGAGTCTTTTTTCTGCTTTCTTCACGCGCGATGCGTCGTGGTCCTTGCACGGCGCTCGTGCAAGGCGCTTCGGCTAATTTACTTTCTCGACTACTTTGAATTCGAATTTCGCTTTCGGATCTTTTTTCTCGTATTCTTAAAGGTTCAAACTAATTTTTAAAGCAATAAAAAAAATTTTTTTAAACTTCAGGGGTGGGGTCCCCCCTTAAGATGCTACGTTTTGTTTATCAGCTTGCATCGCACCGCGACTGTCAACCCGCCAATTGTCGTGTCATTGCCTTAAAAAGGATGGATTACTTGAGTGCATCAAGTAACGGAAGTGACAGGTTTTAATAGTCGATATTAATGTGATTTACTCACTCGAAATCTCTCATTGCTATTGTATAAAATGCACGTTTTCTCATGCTCCCGTTTCGTCATTATGTCGCGCTTTAATAATTCCTTGATTATTATAGTTTCAAGTGCAAAATATATTTACGTGACCTTGGTGTACCCTATGCATTAGCTTAGCATCCAAGGTTTGTGAAATATAATTTCGCAACATTGGACACTATTAACTATCTTCCTCCGTCACGAAAAGTCAATTTATAAGTAAAATTATAACTTTCGACGTCAACTTCGCTTATTTATTGATGTTGTGTAAGAGGTTTTAACTTTTATTCAACCTAAAGTAAAAAAAACTCGGCTTCATTCTAAAATACATTTAGTATAGCAATATACAGGGTGTACTGAAATTCGCGAATCAAAATACCATAGCAAGAATGTCGTCGAAAAAATAAATTAAAAAGTTATTTGCCATTTTTCGTTCCGAGCAGTAGTTTTTTTAGATAAAAAGGTTCAAAACAGGCCAATCATACATTACGGTTGAACGGAAACCTATCCGTGAGTCGCGCGTCAATAGTGTTAGTGCACTAAACTATCGACGCGCGATTCACGGACAGGTTTCTATTCAACCGTAATGTATGATTGGCCTGTTTTGAACCTTTTTATCTAAAAAAACTACGGCTCGGAACGAAAAATGGCAAATAACTTTTTAATTTATTTTTTCGACGACATTCTTGCTATGGTATTTTGATTCGCGAATTTCAGGACACCCTGTATATTTACTATTAATTATGTTCGAACTTATTTTACTACAAATATCGTATAATATTATTTTTACAGCACAGTTCAAACGCTTTTTTCTATGCATTTCCCACAATAATCTATTAATTAATTAAAAAACAGGATGCTTTGATTTATTATTATTAAAACAAGAGCAAATAGAAAGAATAATAGTGTAGTCGAAAGAAAGTGATTCGAATCTGGTGTGCTAGCCTCGCACCCGAAGCGGGCTAGGTCGGCGGCCAGACCGCGGGGAAAACAAACGACGGATAAGCTAGCGGAGAAGAGAGACGGGAGAAAGGCAGTCGCTCTTGGGTTGGATTTTTATTATGATGTATTTTGTGCTACTAATGTAAAGATCTTCGATTTGATAAGGACACCACTTTTCTCCAAATTATTAAAAATAAACTGTTTTTTTTAAATGAAACGACGTATGGAATAATAATATCTTTCTCATAGTTCGTATTTTCTGAAATTATGCTCTTAACTGATTTCTTATCTTCGAAAAAATTTAGAATAGTTTGGAACTCTAGAACTTTAGAACAGAAAACGCACTAAAGTTATAGAGTGTTGACATTTTTAACAGTGCAAGTTCGACATCCCATAATGAGAATGTAAGTTAAAGCATTCTTTTAGTATAAGATGAATATGTATGAGAATTAGAGACAGGCTTTACTATGTAAACCGGTTTCAACATGTATGTTTTGTTATAATATTTTAGTGCTAAGTTGGGATGCATTCAATGAGGTGCATATACGTATTAGATGCATACTTTTGTTTATACACATAAGGATAGCACTAGGTAATATTCGGATGTAATATTTTTCCTTATTTTGATGCATAAAATAAACATTTTGAAATAAAGTGTGTGTTATACGCACTAGTCATGATGAGAGGACACTATAAAATGCGTTATACATATTAACATTGTGGAGTAGGCAATTATAATATTGTTGTCATGTAACTGTTACTTAGTGTTTACTGGGTAAAGCTTAAACATATTCACGAAAAATTTGGGAAATTTATGTTAATAATAGTAAAAGTAAAATTAAATTAGAAATTGTGCAATTTGGAAATTTGCATGTTACTTCTTCATAATTTTATTTCGCCCTCTGCTTTTTCTATGAGTATGTATGTTTCATAAAAATTTTTGCCCACTAAGCTTTTTTTATGAATAAGTGAGTTTTTGGTTTCGGCTTCCTCATAGAGAGAGCTTCGTGAGTTAAATAATTAAAATTCACACAAGAGAGCTTTCCCTTATGAGAAAGCCGAAACTGAAAAACCCATTTGCGCATACAGGAAGCTTAGTGGGCAAAACTTCCAATTTCGTGTGGCTTCTTCATAGAGAAATTCACAGCTCGTTTCTAACGTCAATAATGTCGCCCTAACAATAATGTGTTGCATTTATCTTTATATTTATCGCTGTTTTAACACGAAAATTTAAAATCAGATCCAGCTTTATCCATATTAATAAAATGTCTAAAGAGCCTATTCTGTAAACGTTGACGATATCATTACGTGCTGTACACTTAGGGTGGAGCATTCAAAAAAAATTTTTAATTTTACAACGCCCGTAGGCGAAAGCGATGCGAATTTGTTTAAAAATAAAAATTTGAAAAGTTTTGACTCGATCGGAGCTCATCTTCTGCCTCCAACTTTAGTTTGAAAATTTGATTATAGGAGTAAAATCATAAAAATTAAAAAAGACGCAATTAAAAATTTCAAGAAATTTTTAATTCTATTTTTATCAACAGTTTAAAGTGTTATATTCTAGTATATTAAAAAATTAAACCAATTGAAATCAGGG